TGCAAAGTCCTCCCCTACACCATATCCCTCAGTCTCCTCCCAGTCCTTTCCATTTCAGTCATCTTAGCACAGCCCTCAGCCCCAGCAGTCTCAGAGCACGGAAATGCAGTTGTCACAGAACCGCGTTTCTGTGCTTCTCTGTGGCTCCCATCATTTTGATTCAATTACACTTCGGTGCATAGATAAGAAGTATCAGCAGGAATTGGCTTCTAATTCTGTCACTTATGACAGAACTGCTATTTGCTGCATTGTGTGCACCAAGCAGCCTTGCTTTATTGCAGTTCTTTTTTATGATGATCTGGGACAAGCTTTATCAACAAAACAACTAAATTCCTGTTCTCTCATCTTTCTTTATGATCTGAAAGAAAATTGGCACTTGATATGTCTAAAATAAGTTCCATAATGGCAGCAAAACTGCTTAAATACATTCAGTGTGCTGAAAATATCAGATAAATGGCAGGCTTGGCTCATGTTAACAAGCTTTGCACTTTTTGTGTTCTTTTCATCTGTGACAAAATTCAGCACTTACCAGCCATTAAGGTTGCATTGTGGAAGTCAAAAATGCAGACAGATATTCTGAGAGAATTTTAATCATATAATCACTGTACAAGACATTCAAATACTGTATGCTCAGATTATCTTTTTTATGTTTTTTCTCCTCTTAACAAAACTCGCACATAGACAAAATCAAGAATTATAAGTGACAAGATTTTATTTAAGTTCATCAAAACAGCTGTTTCGAAGACGGCAGGACCGATGGCATTTTCAAGCAACACCAACCAAAAAGGTCATACCCTAAAGGAGTGAGAGAAGATACACGTGATATACACGTGATGAGATGTTTTCAAACTCCAGAAATCTACAAATGATGCCAGAGGTGATTTGAGCAACTGTATTACACCAGTCTGCATGAGCAGGCGCTGGATATGTCACTCCTTAATTGCTGACATGCAGAATTAAACCTTCCTGAAGTGAACATGGCAATTGTCCCCTCATGCAGTTACTATCTCTGGTTCAGGCAGTCAGTATGGTGGTATATAGCAACTCCTTCCTATGGACCTGGCTCACAGGGCAGCAATTCGCTGTTCCAGGGCCCTGCATAAAGGAAATAATAAAACAGGATCCTCAGAAGAGCTCAGGCAGTCTAAATGCAAGGAAAACCACGGGAAGGGTTGCTGAGGGAGGACAGGAGGAGGAGCGCGTGAGGTTGCTCTGCTCAGCTCCTCAGCCTCCTGGCTGCCTGCCACCCTGCAAACTATTAAATTCTTTAATACAGCACCCATAAAAACCAACAAGAAAGGATGGAGAAGTGCAAGATGAGTAGGAAAATGCCACATACCCTGTCAGCAACCTTCAGTTGTGTAAGATTTTTATCTTTATGAAAAACAAAGCTTCATCTCTGTTTCAATCAGTTCATCGCCACATGGAAAGCACGGAGGTGTCATCCTTGGATGCACAATGAAAGGATGTAAATGAAAAAAAAAAAAAAAAGAGGTTGGATTCAGTTTAGGCTGTCCCATTTCAAGTTATCAGTGGGTTTCTGGGCCTGCCAATTCAAAATGGAGTTACTTCTGAAAATTGGATTTCTGAAAAATTACAAACTAGAAGAATGATTTTCTCATGCTAGTCATATCTGAAATTCAAACCAAACAGAAAGTAATCTTAGGTTTGGTGAATTGTATTAGGAAAACAAAAAGAGAATCTTTCTCACGGCCTGAATTTTCACGCTTCAGGAACTGGAAAGAATAGAGCCCTTTCCAAAAAAACAAAACCAAAAGTCTCTCAAAATCCACAACTAAAAATTTTTCTCAATAAGGAAAAAGAGCAAACACTAGAAAGATCACAGGATAGGCTATTTAAATATCCTTTTCAATAAAATGGAAAAAAAAGGTAGATAATCTTCAGAATATTCTTGATTTCCAGAGCTCACAATCTCTTCCCCTAAAGAAAGGAGCCAGATATTAAAAATTTCTCCAGGAATAGGTGCCTCTTGCAGTTTTTCTTCAGAGCATTTAAAAGGCCAGTTACTTCACCTAAATCATGAGCAGAGCTACTCGGAAAGGCTTTCTAGCAAAACTATGGCTGTTTGCTGAACACAAATATGTGGCTTTCACAACCTGGCACCTGCAACAAAAGCAAGAGCCAACTTGTGTTATCAAAATGTTCATGAGACAAATACCTGTTAGGGATCAGAGGGACAGAAAACCTGAACCATTCCTGGCTGTGAGTTTGCTGGGTCTCAGATTTATTATTCTGTAAGAGTGCTTTCCATTCTGAGATCTCAGTATTTATTAATCTTAACTGATCAATCATTACAACATCCTGGTACTATGAGACTGTGAAAAACTACAACTGAGGTAGGAGTGAAGAGAAATTCCTTTTCTGCTATGATTTCAGAAGTTATCTTTGTTTCCTGGGTTGACATGAGCACTAAGACAAAAAGACACACTTTGTCTTTCTTAGAAGTACATTTTTTTAGATCCCTGTCACAGCACTGCAGCATGTCTTTATAGGACTGTTTTTAGCCAATGGCATGAGTTATATCAGGTGTTAGTTTCATCTTCATTTTCTTTAAACTGGATGATTTTTTTCCATAAGGATTCCTAAGAAGTCTGTTCACATTATAACAAATGTCAGTGAACATCCATGAGTCACTGCTCATTTGCTCAGGCTATTGGCCTCTGGCTATCTCAGCTCTTGACATATTAGCCACATGAAAATATATGCTCCCATTCCTAATGCATTTCTAGAAACACATCTCTATCTGACTCTTCTGGTTAACAATCTCACATCTCATTCGGTAGCTTCTTGAAAATTATCGGAATTACAGAAGGAAGGTTTTTTTCATGGAGGGTATATTTAAACCCTTCTGCTTTAATCCAGAACAAGCCCAAAGAAAGGCAGAACTAGCTGAGATTTACAAAAACACACCTGAAATAAACATTCTGCCTTTTTTATGTCTATAGCCAGAAGGGTAAGAAAACAGATGGGATAAACCTATGTATTTACTTTAAATTTCATTCAATATTCAAGGTGCTCCAAAACAAGGGAAACAAGCTGTGCCATAATTTTTAATTCTTGTTTTGCCTGAAATTCCTGGTCTAAGAACCAGGTTGAAAGAATGCATGAAATTCTAACTTGCATGGCATGTGGTCACACTCCCCTCTTGGTTTCCTTCAAGTAACGCCATTGACTGTAACCTCTGGCTCACAACCAGTCTAGAATTTCACTTTTCACAACATGGAAAATGTAACACATAGCTTTTTCTATTTTTCCTTTGAATGGCAGAATTTCATGTTTTCTGTTGTACTCTTTCATGTATAGCCATCACACTTTACTTCACCTGATCATGACTGAGCACACTGAATAGCTGTCTTCCCATCAGATTTGCAAGAAGCACAGAAAAGTGTTATTGATTCCCAGTACATGTAGATAGACTGGATGTAGGAAAATATTTTGAAGAGTAAGAAAAGCATTTTATTATAAGAATAGATGACTCGGAGAACCAAGATCAATTTTTTTTGTTTTGTTTTACCATGCTCACCATGAAGAAAAAGGGGGAAAAAACTGTAAAGAAAATTTAAGTTTAAATCTGGATGTGAACTGAAGTTAGTTCATACTCAATTTGTGCTTAGACTTCTGATTTCTAAGTAAAACTCTGCTGCAAGTGCTGTCACCATATGCTTCCACTCACTCATCCTAAACTGGACTCAGAAGTACCCACATATGCACGATGCACAGCAAATCCTCCAGTTTAGACACTGCTGTGGAACTTTGAACAAACTCTATTTCGTTTACGTTTGAACTGATTTTCCATGTATACCCCAGATTCACCTGCCTTCAAACAGGGAGATGTTTCATTAGCAGGGACACGTTCCCAAGGCAAGCAGAGTGGCAGGTGATGGAGCAGAGTCATGCCAGGGGACCTCAGATATGGACACATGTGAGGTTCCCCAGCACATCACAGACATACGTACATCTTGTCCCCAAATCCTTACAGCTGCCTATGTGATGGTCAGGAGTCTCAGGGAAGACATGAGATCTCAGCACTGTGGCAAGTAACCACGAGTTACTGCATCCTTATTCTTCCCCTCTTTTCTTTCCCCTTCCCAACAGTAAAGCCATATTTGTGATCAATGGTAATTTGCAAAACCACACTTTCAGTTGTCAGCCACCTAATCGTAATCTTTTTAATGGTCAGGAGAAAAGACAGACCCATGGGGTTAAAGTACTGGCTGGGAACTGGATTTCATGTAGATTTACTGCATAACTGTGAGGAATTTGGTTACTTAGTAAGCATGAAGTTCTTATCTACCAGAGACATCAGAAGCACATACATAACAGGTTATTTTAGGGTCTACTTATTTAGATTTTACAAAATCTAATCAGCATAATGATATGGTGTTGAAGCAAGGACCATAATTCGGACAGGAAGAAATGTACTTGTTTTATTATAATAATAAAACTGGTTTGTCCCTGGAACTGTGCAAGATGCAAAAAATATTGAATTATTGCAGGTTCAAAACCACACTATTTCTTGGAGAGAAAATGAAATTATTAGGTAAGCTCCATTATTCAATATTGAAAAAGCAACAAGAAAAGTAAAACTGGAAGTATAAGAAAATTTTCAAAATAAGTGTTGTTTGAATACTGCGGAATGTCATTAACTTCAAAAGTTAGGATTTTCCTGGCATGAATGGTGTGCCAGTTGTGTGATATCAATTGAAACAGAGTGGTATGGCAGTTAGCTATGGTATTCTATGTTTTCTTTGCCACGCTGCTGGTGTTCTCAGGGTTACAAAATCTGAATTCTCTCCTTATATACCCCCTCGGGATCTGTATGGAGCTGCTAGGAGTAGTCTTTGACAGTTGTGCCCCTTTTGTTTCTGAATTCCTTTACTCAGCTTGCTCAGTTCCACTGGCGCCCCAGGATTTGGGAAAGCTGTACTATCAGTGTGAGTTTTCTTTCCAACACGCAGCCTTCTTGTTCTTCCTTGCAGCTGTGAAGAACAACACTCAGCATCCCTACTGACTTTTGAGAAGATGGGACAGAGTAAGATGTCTTTGCTGCATGACAGGTACTTGCATGATAGGGGTGATTTGGACCACAGACTCCCCAGGACTCCATTCAATTCAGCGCTACCTTCTCAAGGTGCCAGCATCAGAGATGGGTTTTATGCAGCTCAGCACTTCAATCTTCTCACCTGCAGCCTATTCCTACACTCAGCAGGGTGCAAGGCTGCAGCACCAACAAGAACCCGTGTTTGCATGTGGTTATGCCTTTCTCATCTCAAAAATTCTTCATTCCTTGCTCTGTGTGCTGCAGAGAAAGTCTCCTATGACTGAGAGCTTTTCTATATACACTTAAACGTTGCTAGCAAGCCAGTACTTGTTAAAAGCTGATCAAAAATCAAAAGTTTGGCATTAAAACAGTGACTAGAAGACAGCAAAGATTTTTCTTAGATGTGCTAATATTTGTCCGCTTTGTAAATTAGCATCCTGGGCAATTGTTCCTAGGCAAGGACAGGAATATTTAGTAGCAATTTTACAGAGCCTGTAGTATCTGGGGTGGCTTAAAATACATTTGGCTGGCTATTGGCTGCCTTGCCCAACCAGCAGCTCAGGAAAAATTGTAGTGAATCATCACTGAAGTCAATGCATTCAGATGCAATCTTATTCTGTAATGTCCTTGCATGTTTACTCAGCACAGTCTAATGGATGTTAGAATTTTGCCATAAAAATATGTGGAATTGTCCTGCTGTGTTCCAAGACAGTTTTAATTATTATTAATTGCATCTCTTCCCTCTTTTGGTTTAACCCCAGCCAGTAACTAGGACGATGCAGCCGCTCTCTTACGCTCCCCAAGGCATGACGCAGGAGAGAATCAGAAGAGAGAAAGTGAGAAAATTCATGGGTTGAGACAAAGGCAGTTTAATAAGTGAAGCAAAAGTCACACACGCAGAACAAAACAAGGAATTCCTCCACTACTTCCCATCATCAGGCAGATGTTCAGCCATGTGCAGGAAAGCAGTGTTCCATCACGGAAATGGCTACTTGAGAAGATAAATGTCATAACTCTGAACATCTCCCCCTCCTTCTTCTCCCAGCTTTATATACTGAGCATGATGTCCTAGGGTATGGAATATCACTTTGGTCTGTTGGGGTCAAGTAATATGGGGCAAGAAACATGTGTACAAAGGAGAAATTACAGAAGCGGCCCATGTTTCCAAAAATAACTATATAGTACCAGGCAGTGCTTGAATATTAGGAAGGAGATAGACAAAACCCATTGTAGTAATTTACTGTTCACTTTTAATAAAGGAGATTCTAATCTTAAAAGATGTTTCGTCCTCTGAAACAAGCTGCTCTGAGTCCCTCATAACTTGAACTTGTTATGGTAGTAATAGATTATTATCACTATAGTAGTAATGTTTTCAAGCCCCTTTTCTCCTCTGTGTTTAAATATTTGAATTCTCTTGAATCTCAAGCAAAGCACAAAGTATCCAGTTTCCCCCATGAAATATTCATGTTATGGGTTAGAAAAGACAAAAAACCTAAACAACTGTACAGGAGGGATCATAAACCTGGACTTATAACCACATTGTAACAAGCACAGGGAAAAATAAATGCATCAGTAAAGAAACAACAACAAAATTTCCCAAAGAAAAGGGGCCAAACCTTCAGCTAATGTGAACTGCAGCTGCATTAATGTCAATGGATCTATGCCTGTGCACACCAGCAGAAAATACGGTTCCGGATCTCTGCTTCTCCTGGAGAGGGCCATATGGTAAGCCTTCACATGACTGAGTCCTCTTCAGAAATGAACGATTGTGTTTAGCTAACTTTATACGTACGAGTTTCCTGTCTGTGACTTGAGTAACATCCATGAATAATTCATGATGGAAAATTACAGTTTTACAGTGCTTGTCCATCATTTTACCACCAGGCTTGTACTCAGCATACTCATATAACATCGCTTCTAAGTCAGGCGAGGCAACATACCTCCCATGTAAGAAGTAATTGTTTGGGTAACACCTGATGTCTGCAATGCCTTTCTCATAAATGTGCTTGAATTTTGGCAACACAGTAAAGACAAAAGGCTGAGAATGAAGAGAGGAATTCCAGACCCAGCTGACTTCCATTAAACCTTTTGTGTGCAGAGATATTCAGCAAAGTACCTGCAGAGCCTTCAGCTGCAGCAATAGTGCAGGCAGGTGTGAAGGAGACCAATGTGTCACCCCCCTGCCCAGACATCTACCAGCCTTGATGGAAGTTGAAATAGCAATGTCCAGAGCCTGGTCAGAGCTCACGATACCTTTGCTAAGCATGAAGACACATGGTATGTCAGTAGCAGAGACTCAGGACCAGATCCACTGCTCCATCCCACTGCTCTAATACATTCCATTGGCACACAACAGCCATTAATCCACTATATGTGCAATTTAATTAATGCATAGCTTTTTAGCATGGTGGTGAATACAACTTATTGTCACCTAAATTGTCTGAGAGACGTTTTTTGCCGGCTCTTTCTCGTAGTCAGGATCACCTGTGACACAGGGCAAAGGACAGCACTGCCCAGAGGGCTTCCTCTTTGCAAAAAGTATCACTTATTTCACTCAGTTAATTACAGCAGACAACCTGATTCTTAATGCACAGGCTTTTAGACAAAATGCACACGTTTTCTTCCTGCCTCTTTAATTGCAGAGCATGCCATTCCTCTGGTATCTATCACTTTTGTCTCTTTTGTACTGTTACCACAGGGTATCCATAAACCCCTTCTCTGGCTGTCAGTATGCTTATTCTGAATTTTCAGCTGCAGCCATGTTGCTGTTTGTCAGTTTGCAAAAATAGAGATTTTCCAGTGTGCTACATAACTTCAAAGTGATAATTTTTTGATTGTGGTGTTGTTTGGTTTTAGTATTTTTGGGGTTTTTTTTCCTCTCCTAAGACATTGGCCTTTAGAGCTAAAGTACAATTTTTCAAAATCAATTAGTAATTTTGGGCTCTCCATTTTAGTGCTTCCCGCATCAGATACATCAATACTACCTCATTTTCTGAAAGAGCTCAGTATTCAACCTTGGAAAAACGAACTTTCAGGATAACTAGTCACTAATCCTCGGTTCTTATTTTACTAGCCCCTCAGCCACAAAGCTCTTACTCAGAGAAAGAGAGAAAGCATCTGGATTTGTTTCTTTAATGACATATTCATTTACTCATCAAAGAAAAAAAGATGCGAATCAAGACAGGAGGAAAAACAAGTAGCAGCAATGAACTGTGAGTCAGACTATACTGAGCCTGAGAGGAATGACTGTCTGGAATTGGGGCTCCACTGAATCTAATCCATCAGAGATTGATGAAGAACACCCTCATTATTGCCTACAAGAATTTTTCTAAAAGGATTTTAAACCAAAATTCAGATTTGAGAAGGAGGAAGTTGGTGAGTCATACGGTTTTAATAAATCAACTTTCACTGTGACTTTGTAGGATGATCTTACTTTCTCTTGCTTTGAATTAATGAAAGGAACTCAGCCGTCCTTGACAACAGCCTGTTAGGACTCTAAGATATACCTTTTTATCCAAGATATAAATTTTTTATCCAAGATCTTTAAAAATTACCATCTATTTTGCACTATTCAGACAAATTAAACTTTGGTAGACTGTTTCTTTTCAAAAGTAACCTGCAGAGACTTTTTTATGTCTGGATCTGTATGCTGGAGAGCCTGGAGTACCAACCATCAGGAAAAGCAAGATTCTCTGCCTGAGCCTGACCTTCAAGGAAGAACTGATAATCAGAGATCACCATCCTTCCCCTCCAGTTGCAAATGTTCAACAAAGCAAAATATCAGAGAGAAAAACAGATGTTATGAGAGACATGGGTATTACAAAAATTCTTTGCAATAGCCAGGTGGATTTCATCCCCAACAAGCAGACCCGGGAAATGACCAACTGGCAGATCATCTCCAGAAGAACTAGTAGGAAACTGACTGTGTTTGAAGCAGATGCTCTGAGTATTAATAGGCAAACTCCTACCTCCAGCTGTCAAGTCAGGACCCAATGTGAAGGAAACAAGGGTGCCCCAAAGAAACTCAGATGAGACCTTTACAGAATAATGAAGGGTACAGAGAGCAAAGGGCCTATGCAGGAAATGGAAAATAGGGAGAATTGGAAGAGTTTGGGGTTTTTCCCTGCAAGCTGGAATTGTTGTGAGAGCAATGAAGGAATGCACTTCTTTCAAAATTTTCAGGAAAGAGAATTATGGTGATTCTCTGTGAAGGCTGTATAACAACTTATGGAGCAAAATTCATGGTGAATAATATACTCTTAAAACACTTTATGATTCTTTTTGAAGACCTAATGTCTCTCAGTTACCTTTACTAAGACAGTTCTTCAAAATTGTAATGCCAATGATAAATGTTCTCCTGCAGGAGCTTCAGGTTGATGAGATCCAGGTAAAGCACAATTAAAGGACCCTTATCACATTTTATTTTAACCTTATTATCAGCAGACATTGACAAAATTAGATCTTCAGGTAATTAACATAGTCTATACCAAGAATTATTTTTTTTTATGAACATCCCAATTAGCAATGTCTATCTTTAAAGTTAGTTCCCACAAAAATGTCTGGCTCAACAGATCAAAAAGATCAGTTCCCACAAAAATGTCTGGCTCAACAGATCAAAAAGATTTTATGCATAGAAGCATAAGCTAGTTTCTCTTATTCAGAAAGTTATATTCAGAAGGAAGTTATGTTCAGAAACTGTTATATCTGTTATATTACATATAAATCACATTAGTTTATTAATTTCCACTGCCGGATACCTTTATAACATTGAACTAGCAGAAGCCAAACAGAGCTTTACAATGATTTTCATACCTACAAAGAGTTGAAATTTCTACTAAGAGAGGATACATTATCCCTGTTAAAGGAAGGAAACAGGATTTCATATCCTGTTCATTTGCAATTCCCAGAACTGAGCTCAGATAATAAAATAAAGGCCAAGTAGTTAGTCAAGGCTCTATGCAAATTATAGCATAATAAACTTCCAAACTCCCTTGTTTTATAGTTTAGAAGAGAAAAATTGAGGAATCCTTGCATAAAATCAGAAAGGAAATGAAAATAGATACAAGCTGCATGAGTGGCTCTTCAAAAGTTCACTTCAGACTGGAAAAGGAATCTCACTTCATACCTCATTATCATAATGGTCAAAGTAACTAAAACCAATTCTAAAAGATGCCAAAACCCTATGCCCTATATAGAGGAGCCAAAACAGACCATGACTAAAGGCTTTTGAAGATCCTTCTTCTGAGCATCTCCTCTCAATGTGTGGGATACAGGAATGGTTGGATTGAAGTTAACAGGACTATTTGTGTTCCCAGTTATGCACCTGGATAAGCACCTGGGTGAATTGAGACTTCACAGTTTAGCCATGATGAAGTCAGTTCTGATTTGTGTTCCTTGCCGATGAAATATACATAACTCCGTCCATTTCAGGTCCTGAAAAAGCTGAATTTACTCAAACAACAAAGGTGAACCTAACTTGCAGAAGTCAAACTTATATAATATGTATGTTTAGGAGACTTCTAATTCCACTACTGAGCATCCTAATCCACCTGTCAAACAGTAACTCTTCCAGGACTATCTGTGCTCGTGGTTAGAAAAGGACTAAATTATTAAGCAGTCTCATATAGGTTGGGCAGAAACAGAGCATTAAAAAAATATATAGGTTTCATGTAAAGAACAAGTCTTGGAAGTTTGCGGGTTTCCTCTTTTTTTCTTGAAAGTGAAACCAAACCCACCATCCTAGCCAGATGGGTAATATCTGCCCACCATTTCCCAGGAACCTCCCTCCAGCTACCAGGACCTTCCCAAACCAACAAAGCAACTGCACAAGGATATTGCCAAACTACCTCAATGCCTTTGGGTGCATCCTTCTGCTCCCATGGACCAGGGTAGTTATTCCTCTCTTGGGTTTACTTTCTTTCCCCTGGAGCTAAAACCACTGGTCTTCCCATGGTCACTGTGACCAAGGCTGCCCTCTACCCATAATTCTTTGCCTTGCTAAACTCCAAGGATACAACATCCACGGCTCTTTCCTTATCACCAGAGCCAAACAGCCAAAAAAAAAGGCGGTCAGCGTAGTCCGACATGATTTGCTTCATATTTCCAAACTTGCTGTTGCCTAGAAGTATTTGCTGTCGTCAAGCTTGGGGGAAAATATCAGTATTCCAGCCTTCTTGGATGGTAATGACCTTGCCTTTTTTTTTTTTTTTCTTTTTTTTG